TGCCAGCCAGAAACACACGAACAAAAGCAAAGTTAATGCAAAGGATTTCTTACTATAAATAGCTTTGAAATCAAATGATATCCAAAGAATTTTTTGTTTCACATGTTCTTTTAATTTTTGTAAAAAAATATATTAAACAATGAAGAGGAACGTGTTGATTAAGACAATAATTATAATAATTTTTTTCTTCCAATTTTGTGATAGCTCATACAAATTAATGCGTCTTACCTGATGCCATTGTGTGAAGTCAACACTTAAATCCCCTGCTCTCTTGCTGACCAACACATTTAATCAAACAACCTTTACCAACAATCTTTTTGACGGCTGAAGTGTGCATAGCTCAGTGGTGGAGATAAGAGATAAAACACAGTTGTTGGATTGTTTTGGTTTTGTTTTTTTTTTGTTGTTTTTTTTTAAACGTGTCCAAACTTTAAAAATCATGAGATAATTATTGTTATCGTTTTCCGGGCTTATCACAATCATGATAAATGCATGGCTTTCAAACGCAAACTATTTACAGTGATTATTATTGTTACATACTTAGGCTATGGCTATGTGACACAACTTGAGGGGAGAGAATCCACTTCCTCGATTTAATAACAGAGCAGACAACTCCTGCCACACCACTAGAGTACAAGTCAGTGACAAGATGATATTGTAGCAATGAGATCTGAATCAAGCAATTTAACCTTCGTAGACTGGGTGAACCGGGTAACACAGACAAGGTTAGAAAATAGTGGATCAAGGTATGTGGAAGCTTGAAATGTAAAGACATGGCAATAATATAAGAACGCTTCGGTTAAAAGCCTTCCTCAGCAGATATGATAAATGAAAAAAAAACAAAAAAAACAACAAGAAATAGAAAGTAGTTCCAAAACTTCAGTGTTTGCCTGAAGTTTAGCAATTGTTTGACTTTTTGTTTTAAAATACCTTAGTAGCGACAGCTTGTGATTAAAGCTTTTTCTTTTTTTTTTTTAAACCCCAGGGCGGAAATTTAAAAAAAAAAGAATAGTTTTTTAAACGAAAAGATTATTTTTTTTCCGGCCAGTGCAATATCATCAAAGAATGCAGCTATCTGCAAGCACACTGTGTGTAGCCACTGGCATCATGAAACAAGATAAAACTAATTAGGACAAGTACAAGTAGGCGCATCAAATTCCTCTAGAATCTCAAAGATAACAAGTTTGAAGAAAACAATGAACAAAAAAAAAACAGTAACTTTGGAAGGAGGATACTGATGAGATATAAAATGTTAGAAGTTATCATTACTTCCTAATACAGCATAAAGTAATAGTAATAGATATTTTTTGCTGATGATACCCTTCTTTGTTTTTTTCAAAGTCAGTGTTGCTGTAGCTCAGCGGTTCTCAAAATGTGGGTGGTGACCTTTTTGGTGGTCAAACAACACTTACACAGGGGTCGGCTAAGAAAATCGGAAAACACAAATTTATGAAGCAGGAACGAAAAATAATTTTATGATGGGGGCTAGGGGGTGGGATCACAGCATGAGGAACTGTATTAAAGGATCGCGGCATTAAGAAGGTTGAGACCCACTGGTGTATTTAGACATAAAATATTAGTCTTTAGGGCAATTTGGATCTGTTTTCCTACCTCTGTGGAAGAAGTTTTTTTTTTCCCCTTAGGGTTTCCCCCTTCCTCAAGAGTAAATGCCTTACTGAGCTGATGAGTCCATTCCAACTAACTGGCTGTTTGCAGTAGCTTGGAGATGACCCTTTACTAATCCAAGACTGATATCCCTTGGTTATGAGGTTGACATGCAACCAATGTGCAGCAGGGCAGACCTGTAAAACTTTGAAAACAATGAAGTGGTTTTTGTACGTTTTACCTTACAAGATGTGTAGACATATTGTTCTACATAAGGTGTAGAACTGTTTTTACCATATAAGAAAAAGGCACTATTTTTTAGTTATGACCAGCATCTTTTTGTTATGTTTAGTAACATTTTTAAAAAAGGTTGATCTTTGTTGTAGCACATATATTTTGTTAGTGTTTTGCACCGGATCAGATGTACAGATTCAAATAAGTGCACCTGAAATATAGTGTACACATATGTGTTAATTTTTAATCAAAGGTTTGTGCACATAACAGACCTGTTTACCCTCAAACTCTTAAAATCGTACAATATCATCACAAAATCGTTCAATACGTTATATTTATAGTAAGAAATAAACAGTATATACAATCTATACACCTCAAAATCGTACATTGTACGACAAAATCGTAAGAGTAAACAGGTCTTACATAAATATGTAAATATCTGTGAATAATTAAAAAGATTAACTCTGAGAAGCTGAAATGGACTTATTTCCCTTTTATTATTACTATTATTGCCAACAGGTAGTGGTGAGGCCGACATTACATTATATGAAACAAAACGAAAAAATGGATTTCAAAAAGGCACCTGAATGGGGGTGGAGAACAAGGGTAACAGAACAACTGGATGTGGCATGACATGTGAAACAAGAGAAGTTACATAAATTAATCATGACTTGTACATGAACAGGTCAATTATATTATAAGCAGATGGAAGTAAATCCAGATAACTTGAAACCGATGTTAAACTATTCTTGTTAAAGTTGTTATAAAGATGCAATTTACTCTGTTGTAGTTTACCTTGTACTACATTTTTTAAAATTTACACTTGTATTAAATTTTTTTAAAGTAGCATATATATTATAAAGATAACTAGCATAGTTAAATGGTAATTTAAGGGAAACAATTCGGAATTAATTTTACATAAATTTGACATGCATGATTTCCCTGTCTTGCTTGTGTTGACATGCCAACATGACCAAACAACTAAAATTGACCCAAGATATTTTGCTTGGAGATTTCATCTTTGAAATCACTAACATATCTACATGTATAACATCCTCAGTTTGTATAAAAAAGTAAGTCTCATGTCACTAATCTCCTAGTATATCAGCTTTGTGTGTATAGATGCAAACCAGTTTAATTAAGTTAAATTGTTGAAGATAAGGTTCAATGAATCCAACCCAAAAAAAATGTTTGAGATCTTAGATGAAAGTAATTTACATACACAGCGCTATTGTAATGCACCAAGAAAGATTTTCATAATTAAAATTAGAATAATACGTACATAAGAACTAATGGATCACTTCATTCCTAGGCAATGCATCCACTCAACTGATACAACACATTTAAATTTTAAAACAAAGAGTTGTCTAATACAAACCAAATTTCATATAAATCATTTAAAAAAATGTTAAACCTTTCTATGATAATATTTAATGGGATCAGGGTTCCCCCCCCCGGAAAGCCAAGTGCCCCCCCACCCCCGGAGAAAAAATATGTCCAACAATAAATCAACTGGCACTGCCCCACCCCCACGTAAAATCTGAAATGCTCCCCGGGGAAGAATTTCTGAAATAATTAATCACTGAATGGGATATGGGTAGAATAAAAACTTTGCAAGTAAATGCCTCTGGAAAAAGTAGCACCCATCGTTAATCCCACGATATACGTATTTAATCAAAGTCCTACCAAGTGATAGGCATTCAAGTGCAACTTGAAATAAATACTTGAAGTAAATGTACAGCTTGATATGTTGGAAGACACAGCATAGTAAAAGTAACAAACAACTTGTAGCAAAGGATATGTTCATTCTAATGGTTTCACGAAGTAGCATTGGATATTTTTTTTTAAAATTGAAACAAAAGGAGCAACATGTTAAAGATACTTAACAAGTGGACTTGAAACCACCTAAAATATTATGCCATGGCTGCTCTCAGCAGGACCCAGAATTATGCAGAAAATGTACAGCACAAAGTAGGTCAAAGCCTGAATTGGAAAGAGACGCAAGAAATCAAAGAACATGCTAAGAAACTTATTCGGCTAACAAAGAGAAACATGTAATGCCTTACAAATAAAATGAGAAAAAGAAATTAAGCAACAAACCTAGATTGTTTTGAGAAAAGGCTGATTATAGTTTTGGAATAAACCAATTTCACTCTTACAACCAAAAAATCAGCCCTTTAAAAAAAAAAAAAATATTATTAATGTGGACTTTAAATTTACTCCACTTTCCTTCAATTAACTTTTTTTTATCTTGTGCCCCTGGATTGTGCCTGTGGATTGTACACATTCCTAGCTTCTTATTGTCATCTTTTGGACCTCGTGCAAGTCAATTGTACCTATCCTTAGTTTCTTATTATACTTTAATCTCCATTTTGTTTGCTGAAAAGGGCTTTGAGCAGACATTTTTTATCATTACGTTGCTTTCCATTTCCATGCTTGCTTTGACAAACAGTGTGAACTTCCTTTTCCCTCATATTATCACCATTATACATTAAATAATAACCCAAGAACATCAGAAGATGTTAAGTAAAAACAGTAAAAAAAAAACAACTCCTAGAAATGTAGAACACAAATTTACCCTGCTTTTCTCACATGCTCTAGGGCCAAATAGTTGTGCGTGTCCACCATTGTGTCATTCCCAGCATCACACATTAAGGAAAGTCTTATTACATTGAGCCATGAATATAAATACAATGAAATTCCACACATGCACCCTGAGTTCCAATGTGTTTCCACTTACAATGATCCAAAGGCTGTGGGTGCAGATACAAGCAGAGAAAGAACACTCTTCCTTGTATGAATTCACTTCTATAAACGATTTCATATTGAACTGTATCAGATAATGTCTCAGTCAACATAAGCTCCAGTTTGATCAGTTTAATCAAACAATAAATCATTTTCTAATTCACACACTACAATGTATGTGATATAATTTGAGCAAAGGATTTTAGTGCAAATTTATAGGAGCCTTTCCACTATAAAAAAAAAATGTAAATGCAATATCAAACATAAATATAAATCCTGCGTTCTAAATCTTTCAAACTTTTGCAAGATATGCCAATTATTCTAATTCTATTTTCAGTTAGTTATGTAATTATGTATCTTTAACCATGTGACAAGAAGGATTAAAAAATATACATTTATTTTTCTTAAAAAATTGTCCCGCATATGGAAAAAGAAATTATAATATACATAAAAATTAATCATCATTTAATATACATTGTTAAAATCCATAATGACCAGTTATGTGTTGTTTTTTTTAAGCTATGGCATTTAAAAGCTCAGAAATGTGTATGTTCAAATAATGACAACAGCATAAAAGAAAAAAGTCAAAGCGAACAAAAATACTTGTGTATAAAATATACTGTCTGGGTAGCAATAGATTATGCACACACAAAAAAAATATAAATAATAAAACAGTTAAGTGTTGGAAACAGGTTGTAGCAACAGTCCTCAGTTGTCAGGTAATATCTCAATGGACCCAACAAGATCAATAGAAATAGATGTGGATAGCATTGCAAACCAGGCTCCCCTCGGAGAAATTCCTAAAATATTTTGAATATGGCTTCTTTTAATCTCCTGTATTCAAAATAAATTTGACACGACAAAAGTCAGCCTCAAATCACTACAGCCAAACAAGGAATTAGCAGCCTTTGTAATTCTCATTTCCCTGACATTATTTTAATACATTCTTATTGAAACTCTTCTGAAATAACCAAGTTTAAAAAAAAAAGAAGAAAAAAAATGACTGAAAATTTACAGCTTAAACTGTCTGCATGCTCACATGCTAACTATAACATTTTACCTATGCATTGCTCTTCCCTACAAGAAATACATAAAGATCCAGGACAGTGGCCAGGACGACCCGCTGCTTCAAAGCCACATGTCGCTCCTTGAAGGAATCAATGTGGCTTTGTTTTTTTAAAAAATAATCTATAATTAACCGCGGCTAAAAAAATATATTTTATTAGCAGATATAATTAATAAAAATGGCACCTCACTAAAAAAGTTTGAAAACCCCTGACCTAGGATCTAGTCCAATTACAGTACTACACTATAAATGATGTAGACAGGAATCAGATACAAAAAACATCACCCCGTTTCTGGCATCATCACAAAGTGAACTCATATGAACCAAACTTTTAACAGCAAAAAGTTCACCATGGAATGCCCAGGTTTGGACTGAAGGCTTGGAATGAACGGATTTAATCACAGGTTTTTTTCTAGTTGGGGTCTGGCTGATCACTCTGGTCTCTCACTGTGCCAGCACTGGACACAACATTCGAAGGCAGGGGATCTCTTACCTCCTCGTAGCTGAAAGTGGCCATGGGTATAACCTCAGAACCAGTGTTCTGGTCTCTTCGTATAAGTCTTGCAGTTTCTGATATGTCAAAGACATCATCGTCCCCCTCGTCATCATCTTCGAAAGCCAAGGAGAGTGAAGCGCCATTTGGAAGACTCGTGTCACCATCAGGTGAACTGATGGATGTGTCGACAAGCCGACGAGCACGTCTTGCCAAGACCCTGTTGCGCGCTGCTTCCTTTTTTTCATCATCGTAGCAGAAAATGTATTCAAAGGTCTCGTAGATGGCCATGACCAGGCAAAAGGCACCAGACAAAATAATAATCTGTAGAAATGTAGAGAAACAGTTTTATTCATTTACATCATGAAAATTGTCGACATGTGCAATAATTTTACTAAACCCTTCAGCATCACTATGGAACAATCTTTAACTTTCCACAAGATGCATTCCTGTGTTACATTCTCAATTATGTTAGTAAACATGATAACTCAAAATAATCCATCTATAACCTATTCCCACAAGCAATATACCACTGCCCTAATCCATAGAAAGAACCGTTGGACAAATTCAGCATTGAAAAAGATTGGGCCACAAAGCTTAAAATGAAGAAAAAAATATGTATATATGTATATAGTGCTAACTGCTGGTGAATTGAGTGAAAATAATGACACAGATTTTGAATTGAAAGCTGGGAACCAACAGTGAGGAAAATAAAAATGAGCAGAACAATTACTGTCTGGCATACAATTCTTCAATTCCCATGATTCTGGCCATTTAAACACAATAAAGATCCACAGTCCAGGTATTTGTAATCTGGACCAAAGTGTTAGTGGAAGGCTTAACTGGTTAACTACCATGAGCCGGTGGGAGCGGCTGGGCGTTTCTTTCATTATGGCCACGAGCCGCCCACAGCGCAAATGTTGGTAAATGTGACCTAGATCTGGTAGCTAATCAGTTAACAAAAGGTCAAGATTGAATGAAACCCCCCCCCCCCACTTGTCAGGGGAATAGCAAAGCTAAAAATGATTTTATGGACACACTTTGGAAGGAAGAAACTACGAGGTCAAAAGAAAAGAATGAGAATGTATTCATTATGCAAATGTTGGTAAATGTGACCTAGATCTGGTAGCTAATCAGTTAACAAAAGGTCAAGATTGAATGAAACCACCCCCCCCCCACTTGTCAGGGGAATAGCAAAGCTAAAAATGATTTTATGGACACACTTTGGAAGGAAGAAACTACGAGGTCAAAAGAAAAGAATGAGAATGTATTCATTAGGGACTTTTGCCCACTCTTATTCTTTACTTTCAATTTTAGGTAAAGGAAGGATATACATATATGAAATACATTTAATATTTATAATTATATTATGTTTTTTTTTCATTTACTGATGAAGGCATTTGTCAAAATGTTTGAGTGTGCAAGATGTGACATAATAAGAAGAAACCAGTCCCTACAGAACTTTTTTTTGTTTTGTTAATAATACACAATCCCCTTTTTAAAGGAACTCGCCAACTGCAGTATTACCTTGAGTGTTCTGTCCGACACTGGTGTGTAAGGGCTGTCATATTTTTGTGCAGGGGCACAGGCCTGGCTCATGCCGGCACTCAGGAACTCCCCACTCATCGCAGCCTCAACACGTTGACGCCGCTGGGCAAACTCGGACGCTGTCATGGGTGTGCCAAACAAAGTCAGGCGCAGCTTGGTCAGCCTGCCTTGACCTGGTTTATTAGAAAATGGAGGTTCATACGTGAGCTTGAAACTAAATGCCATATGTTGTGTAAGAGGACACTTGGGTGAAATGTGATTGGATACAACATAATCCCTTAAAAACTAGGGAGTATTACTAGAAACTTGACTACTTGATGTTTGTATACCTAGAAACTTGACTGTTCAACATTTGTATAACTAATTACTAGAATAAGAAATCAAATTTTGTAATACTAGTAATTGGCTGTTCAACTTTTGTATTTTTAGTAACTGGACTAATCATCTTTTGTATTTCTAGTTAATTGACTGTTCCACTTTAGTATTTCAGTGCTAGTTTCTTTCATTTTATAATATTTTTTTTAAGGAAGTAAAACCATTAAATAGCTGTCAAATAAAAATAAATATTATCACAACGTGTGATGCCTCAAAAATTTGAGATCCATAACATCATTGTTACAAAAAAAAATTATTATTATTATTGCATTGTAAAAAAATAATAAAGATAAGTATACTTCTCACCAAAATTCTCTTCATCGTTGTCAATAAATAGGATAGTCCAGTTACCCAAGGGCTGTTCGCCCCAACATCTGACCGTTGTGAATGTCCAGTCACTAAATCCTGATGTAGAGTTGTCTAAGGGCCTGTAGATAGAGAAATGGACAAAAATGAGATAGTTTTTACAAGTGGACAAGAGTATGACTATATAGTTTTGTGTTACAGATGTGAATGTTGAACTAATGGCAAAATAAGATAAATTTGTGCAACAGAAATAAATATTGAGCTATTTGCAGACTTAGTGAGAGCTGCACAGCCAAACATGATAGACTGTTGAAATGGAGAACTGACTTAAACAGATCTGATTTAGGGAATTGAATGTTGAACTAATAAAATACTTAAGATACATATGGGTAACCAATTAAAAGAATGGAACTAAAACAATTATTTACCTTGGTGCTGCCAACACTGACAAAGTACCAGCGGGACTGATCAACTGGACTCCCAGCTTGCCTCGGCAGGGATGGGTCAGCCATATGGTCAGCTGCACGTTTTCCAATGTGAACAATCCTAATCCACGTATATCCGCTTCGGTAATCTCGTGGATCATCTTCAATGGTGTTTTGGAGCCTTTAGGAATAATTTTATCTGCACCTGCCTCCATGTATGAGAAAGAAGTCATCCACGGGACTGTCTCCCAGACCCTGGCAGCATTGACCAGCCTCCAGGAGTTAAGCAGGCCAAACCCATGCTTGTGACTGTGAGAGAGGCCGGCACCATTCTCTTGCCAGTGAGCCAGAGCGACGTCCACTTTCTGGCTGGTGAGAATGATGATATACTGTACATCCCTCCAAGTCAAACACGGCCGAGCCTGCAGCATAAGGGCAATCATTCCGGCAGCCAGTGGGGCGGCAGCACTTGTGCCCGTGTGGCTATCCGTACAGCCGCTGGCCTTGCCCTCGGTCCAGTCGGTGGTGACAATGTCCCTCTTGTTGTTTGTGCCGCTGCTGAACGTAACGCCCAGCATGGACGCACACTCTTCCGCGTAGTAGGGCATTTCCCCACTCTCATCCACAGCCCCAATGGTCACGGTGTAGATGGAGTTGGCGTAGCCGTCAAAGTTGCAGTTGTCGTGGTGCTCGCCGCCGTTGCCACTGGCCACAACGAAAATGTTGCCGAAGCCTTTGCGGCCAAAATCCACCCCATATTTCATCGCTTTGACAGCCATGAGATGGGGTCCATCGACAGTTCTACCATCATCGTCAGGTCCCCAACTGCAGCTATAGATGTCATTGATGTCCATTTTCTTGTTGAAAGCCTCAGCTTCCATGCTGTCAGTCATAGTTCCGTCCAGGACACGCAGACCTGACAAAACACAACAATATCATGGAATAAGTGAACATGTAATTTTTTTTTTTTTTTTTCAAAACATTTTAGAAAATTGTTCTCAGTCTAGCTAAGATCGCTGTACCAATATTGATTGTTGAAAGCCTCAGCTTCCATGCTGTCAGTCATAGTTCCGTCCAGGACACGCAGACCTGACAAAACACAACAATATCATGGAATAAGTGAACATGTAATTTTTTTTTTTTTTTCAAAACATTTTAGAAAATTGTTCTCAGTCTAGCTAAGATCGCTGTACCAATATTGACTTTGTAGTAGCCTACACAAGAAAAACTAACAATTTTAGATAAATGCACAAAACTAAATTTAAAAAAACAATGTTATACACTGGATAAAGAACAACCCTTAGATCTAGATGTAGACCACGCCAATAAATTTCATAATAAATAACACTTGTTTAAATTAAAGAACAACACCAATAGTCAAAGAACAATACCAGAAATCTGGGCTCCATAGGCCACACCCACTCCGCACACTTTGTTGTTGGCTACAGCTGCTATTTCCCCAGCACATCTTGTCCCATGGTGATTTGATTGTTTTGTGGAGCTGGGTGAAGGGTCAGGGTCATCATCGTTGAGATCCCAGCTCCCCATGCGGTTATAGTTGGCCTGTGAGGGACACAAAACACCTGGATAACAATTAAGACCCTAACTTATACATAAGCATTCAAAACATTCTTATAAAAATGAACTAGACAACTCAAGCGGTGATAAAAGAAAAAATCTTAAGCGAAATAATGGCTGTAACACTCAAGGCACAGGTGTTACTTACTAAGTGGCATACCTTGAATAAATGCCGCCCGGGGCAAGCTCCCAAAATTCTGCCCCAACACGCAAACCCCAGAAGTGTCACTTGGGACGTTTTTCCCTTCCCCCCACTTCGCTCCCCTCAGTTACGCCAATGTACTTTCTTTTTCTTTTAAGATGAGATAAGATTCTTTCATTGATCCAAAAATTTTTTTAATGTTTTTTGGTTGCATTGAACATATTCATTTTAGAAATTAAGTTTAGTAACTAAATCCACAAACTGTAGTATGAAATCTGTCAGTTTCATGTTATGTGGCTGTAAAGAATTGAAACAATCTATCAGGAGACAGGTAATCTTTTGCTTAGGCTTAGTTTCAACACAAAATCTAAACACAAACCAATGGATGTGCATCAGATTAAGTTTCCTTACCTTCAAGTCCGCATTCCTCCACTCAACCCCATCATCCACCACTGCCACTGTGATCCCCGAACCCGTGTAGTTATGCTGCCAGACCCCTGTCACATTGATGTCCATTCTCGAGCCCAAGCTGTTGAACAGGTGCCACTGTTTAAGATAAGCTGGGTCGTCGAATGTCACCAGCGCTGACCTTTTGGACCGGGGAGCTTGCAAATGATGGGGGTGCGTGGAATCATTGACACTGGAATGAGTTGATGAACTGAGCAAACTGGTGTAAGACTGACTGAGTTTATCTTCTATCTTCTGGTCTTTTATATCATTTGGGGCTGAATGAGTCACAGCAAAAGGATGCTGAGAGGAATCTTCAAGCCCAGAATCTGAATAATGCAAGACTGAATCATTGAAATTTATTACGCTGTGGGAATTTTTCAAACCTGGCTCTTCATTGCTGGCAAACACTTTTAGCACCACCAGATTTCTTTTGGGAGGTTTTTTAGGTGTCAATGGCGCAGCCCCTCTGGGATGTCTTTTGTGAACATGCTCGGCTGTAAACCAGAGTATTTCTCTGTGCTGACTCAGACGTTGCTCCACTTGTCTTTCATACAGCTGAAACAGTGCCTGGCTGGTAGATCTGAGCCTGGAATGTTGCCTGTGTAAGTGTTGGAGATGAACTGACTTGTAGTTGGAGATGGGGGAGGTTGGCACACGTCTGCCAGAAGCTGTCTCACTGTGACACAGCAGAAAATGGTCATGGAACTGGCCAAAAGTGTGGTGAATTTCCAGGTTAACCTCTTTGGACAGAGCTGTTTGTTGGAAAGAGAATTATATTTCATAAATATTTTATAAGAAAGGATTGACTTTCAAGCAGATCTTTCACAACTAGGAAATGTGGAAATCAAACTCAGATGCTGTAACAATGTCGTTTTTTTTAAATTCTTTAAATAAATTGTTTAGTAAATGTCATAACTTCCTTAAAAAATAATAAATTAAGTTATCTTGAAGACTACAATGTTTCTTCAGTTTAATTGAGATATAATGATATTAAATAAATCTATATGAATGAGCTAGAAAACAATGAAAATTGACAAGTGAGACTTACCCAAAATGTGATCTTTAACAAGGTTGTGTCCAAGGCAACATTTGGGGGATGATGACATTTCTCCCTCATCATCTGCCACATTAGCCATATCATTTGTTCCATTTTGAAAACAGCTGCATGACTTGAGTGTATTTATCTGGACCACCCAACACAGAATTAGATCTCTGCTTTCCACCATCGGCTTTACGACATTTTTCTCATATCTGGAGGCACAATGCAGTGGGAAAGGAGACACTTGTAGGACTTCGGAAATGAGGATCAAGATAACAAAGAGGAGGGAATCTGATAACATGCCAGAGCTGTCATTGTTGGCTCAACTGTCAAAGTAAAATTTCAGATGCAAAAATGCTAAATGTAATAATAAGCTGCAGTATAACACTTGTTCTGCCGGAACAGTGACAATATTATAATAAATTTACAATTGAAATCCCAACATTAATTAGGAGCTAAAATACTCACTGCACACAGCTTCTATTAGTGGTTACAAAATGATACATTTTCTTTCTTTTGACCTGCTTTTTGTGTAGGATTTTTCTGTGAGTCGTTTAATATTCTTGTAAGTTATTATTTTCTACAAATAGATGACCTTCTTCATTACATAGACACGATTGTTTACAGAGCATGCCAGTTTAATTTACAAATCATAAGTTATAAGTTAAAATTAGGTAATATGCCACTTCAGCATGCGTTATTCAAAAATTGTTCCAGTTTGATGGGCTATTTAAATGGTTGGTTATTCTTTTATTGGTGTTCGTTTAAAGGACAGTGGAGAGAGGTCCACTGGGTTTTTGGTGGCATATAAAGTATAAAGCGAGAGTGGGCGCTGTTTACTCAATGAAGTGCCGGACCAATGTGCTATTACTTTACAGGAGTGTATAGAGAGATATATCTTTCTAGGCTTACTAATTGTATTGGACAGATTGATGGCTTAAGCAAACATAAACCAGATCAGACATGTAATCTACTAACACTCTGTTGTGGTTCATCAGCAAAATTTTATCAATCCATAAGCCACAATCCGGTCTTCCTTCATATTTGCATGAGTTCATTTTCTACAATCATTTTCATGAAGATGATCTTTCCTATAACTTTTTGGTTATCTTAGGGAAGAACTACGCTTTTGATATAGGCTACTCAAACTCTGTTTTCTTTTCATACATAAAATTGTTTTTGAATATGTATTTTTAAAATTTTGTCTTGGATTATTTATATATGTTATGAAATGAATATGTACAATGTCATAACAAAACATTTTCCATTATATGGATTAATACAAATTTTTTATCTTATCAATAAAAAAAAAACAGTTTAAATTATATGTCAAACTAGAACAACATGATTTTTTAATAACCATCACTGATGTGTTAGATTATCGAAAAATTATATTGATTTATATAAAAATATAAATGAGAAATCTAATTTTCACATTTTTTTGTAGTTTTACTCTATTTGCAAAAAGACTTTTTAAATGAATCTGCACACTGGTCTGAAATCTGGGTCAATAATATCCTTCTATAAAATGAGGTCTGCTACTTCTGCAAGTCACTTTGTAACAAAGACAAAATGGGGTTGAGAGATTTGGTACATAATAAATCATATTTTATTATATAATAGAATCTTAGCTGCAAGTCCACTCTCTGATTGTGGATGCCACAACGTCTTTTTATAGTTTAAGTTTACTTTAAATTTTAAAATTTATTTATTTTTAAATTTACACAAATTTGGTTAGTTTTATGTTTGAACTGAATTAAAAAAATATAAATGGGACTAATTTATATCAACTGGCAACTAGTTTTCGTTCATTATTTCTCCCAACAAACCTATAAAAAGTGTTATTTATTTGCAAGTTCTTGTTTAGGAAACAGAATAATGAACATTGTTAGGTCCCTTAGACATAAGAGCAGGTAACTTTGGGTGCATCTAGTGTTCGAAATCAAACTTAAATTTTAGAGTATTCAACATGCAAAGATTAGTCTCATCAATAATCCTTGTTACTTATCACACACACTACCTTCCTAATATATATAGTCAGTGTATTAAATGAAATAAAAAAGCCAATAAAATTCAGTAAGATCTTCAATTCAAATAAGTCAACTACACATTATTAAAGCAAGCTTAGTTAACATATTATGTACAATTTCCTTTATAATAAAATAAAAATTTATAATAAAATAAAAAATACTTATCTACAATATATTTTTATCCCAGTCATTCATAACTTTTAATTCTTAAAGCTCCCTCTTATACGTGCTCAATTTTTTTTGTTTCATTATAGCGATATCAAAATAATGTTCACCTACATTACTTTACAAATAAAACTCATCTATATTGTTTCGGTAATTAGTAGTATCTCCAGCAGAAGCTTCATCTCTTGGTGACAACAATCCCAAATTAAGCTATGAATATGCCAGAATGGATGCTATCGTTGTAAAACTTTCGAGAGTATTTTCAAGATTTTATGTATTTGATAAGTTGGAAAAGGGATTTGAGCAATTTAACAAATAATTTTATTTTTAATTTCATTTAATTTAAATACAAACTATTCACAAAGAATTTTTCATAAATTTGAAAACGACAATGTGTGATGTGCATTTTAAAAAAATAATGATTAACTGCCGTTGTCATCTCCACGTTTAAACTGTCATGGCGGAGAAAGAGATACTTTTGGACGGCCAACTGGACTATTTACCACCGGAAAAGCAAAATATAAAACAAAGGTAATATGCGCTACCTTTGCTTTTCTAGTAAAATTTAATAATTTATGGAATAAGTAATTAAAAATAGCACTACGTAATCTACCACTTGAGCGTCGGCCAAGAAAAAATCCAGCTGTTCAGTTTGGAAGGGCTATTTAAACAACTATTCATAGACTATTCTGACTATTCTTATATTATTTTTAATGACATTGGTTGTACTATTCATTCCCATTATATTAGACAATTTTTTTAAAATAGAAAAACTAAAACAATTTTTTTGAAATAGAAGATAATGTGTGAAAATGGAATTATGCATAGTTATCCCCCAAGTTGACAATGAAGTTTAAAAAAAATATAATTTCCACAAAAACGTTTGTGGTACATGAATCCACGTAAATATGAAGGGGAAAGATCACCGGCGCTTCTTGTGCTAAACTGTCTTTTCAGTTTATGCTTTCTGAGCATTCACGTTTTCCACATTCTGTGTGTGGACATCCGCGTCATCTGGATCAAAAAAAAAAAATTGTTGTCCCTTTTTCTTCTTGGCATATCGGTAGCTTGGCAGTAATAAGTATTTAAATGTATTAGTATTAGTATTGTGCTATATAACTTTATAGCCTCTATACGGAAGCAAAAATATTTACAGACTCCAATGTAAGAATAGTTGTTTACATAGCCCTTCCAATCGAAAAAACTGGATTTTTTCTTGGCCGACGCTCAAGTGGTAGATTACCTAGCATTTTTTAATAAATAGGCTTAAGCAGTACCTAAATTAAAAATACTAAGACTAAATAATCAATATAAATTATGATTAATTTAATGATGAGCATGGGCAAGATGTGTTGCATTGCAGATAACAGAGATATGAGACATGATATAATTGAGACTGAGACAATCCAATATTTGTTCTGTTCAAATTTTAAAAAGTTTAATCTTTTTACTTTTTTAGAATCATGTCCCTATCATTGACGAGTGTTCCAGCTCGAGAATGGTTTTCAAAGACAAGAGAAAGTGTCAAGCCCTGGCAAGAGTTTATCAATTCCAAGAAGTTTGGTTTTCCCAAATCTCTCGCTCCTCTTCCAAAAAGAATTGTGAAGAATATTGAAACATTTCAGGGCAACTACCTTTTTGTATTTCTAGGACTAGTTGTTGTCTGCATGTAAGGACCGTACACAGTTTCAGTTAATTTATGTATCAATAGTGTAAAATGTCAGGGTTCTTTTACTTCTATAAATAGGCCTTATACTAATACCCACTATTAAATATGCTATAGGGATTAACAATATATTAGTGGCCATCCCTAAATGATGTTACAATATTTGTCTGATTGTGGAATCCCCACACCAATCATCATAAACTTGTCACAGAATTAAGATTAAGAAACTTTCACAACAGATCCTCTCAAAGTCATGATTATTTCTTCCCCCCCCCCCTCTCCTCCTGCCAAGTGCATAACATCATTTATGGATGGCCTCTTATGTGTGCTGCTTAGTTTGACTAAAACTCATATCAGTATCAACCATTTAAAATATTCAAATATTTATTTTCAATATTGAATATTTGAGTATTTTCTTCAAAAACTATTAAGGCAAGGCCATTACTGTTTCAATTATTTTGATTTCAGTCTAACATCACCTCTCCTTCTGGTTGCTATTGCTGCCTGTCTTGGTGCCTGCTACATCATCAGTATTAAAAATCAAGACAGGAAGATTTCTGTTATGGGTAAATTCTAATTTAAAAAATTCATTTCTTGGAGTTGCATTACAGCTAAATGTTCCATTTGTTGGTTTCAATGTCCTAAAAAAATATTGCATGAATCATCATTTACAAAAATAGGCCTAAGTTACTACAAAAATGTAATCATATGAACAGATTTAATTTGATCTATTAACCTATAATAAAATTGCAGTAAGCAAGAAATTATTGTAGTGTGCCTTTAAAATAGATAATAAACAAAGTTATACTTGCTTTAATTTCTCTATTGTCACCATTTTTTCTCTCTAGAGATTCTGTGTTTTGTGTTTCATAGAATAATTTTAAACTATTGTTTATGTGTAGGCCGAGAGCTCAGCTTAGCTCAGCAGTATGCAGCTGTTGGGGCTCTTTCTTTCCCTTTGTTTTGGATTGCTGGGGCTGGTTCTGCTGTGTTCTGGGTCATAGGTAAGTAATTTAGATTTTCTTTGTTTAATCAAGTTGGTGTTTGTTTTTTTAACTTATGAATTTATAAAATATCCAATGTTGGCTTTAATTACTTCATACTTAAACTCTTCACAATCTTTTACTAAATCACAATTACAGTATCAGAAATAAAACAAGTAGTTTTTGCTTCTGGAAACATTTTTTTTCCCATTGAATTTTCGTACATAAAGTAACCATAATAAGCTTGCTTTGTCTTTGACCTGATTTTGGCTGTGATTAAAGATTGAAACTGTAAAAATAGTCTTAGCTAAAATTACATTTCTTGTCTTTAGTATACCACTTACACTTAACTGAGGCAGATAAATTTTCCCAGGCACAGTAAATAAAAACTTTTAAATTTTTATAACCATCAGTACTATCATACTATAAAATGAATTGTAAATAATGCAAACAGCAATATGAAGATGATTTTCACTTGTACATGTGATTAAAGCTCACAATTCCCAGTGAGAAAGAGATATTTTTTAAAAATTTAACGGGGGGGGGGGGGGGGCCTAAAATTGGGGGGGGGGGGAGGGGAGCTCTAATATTAGTAAAACATCAATTTGGATCATAAAAATAACAAAACTTAACGTTTTAAGTCTCATACACTGAGTGGCACAAGGTTTTAAGTGATTTAAGAGCTTGTCATCCAATGCTAACTTATGGTTAATGCTTGTCTGATGACAATTTTCTCTTAACTTTAAAGGGCTTTTCATAGAGACATCTTTCCGGCATCTAAGATACTATGGCATTCACAACCTTCTGGTTACCTACCAGTTTCCATTTGAATCAGGATGGTGCACCAGAGATAGACAGTTGTTATTATTAGAGCTCGAAACATATTTCACCACATTTTATTTGATCTTGAGTGTTTATTAACAGGGCGATACTGCTGTGGTAAGCAATGCTCACTTTTGAATTTCAGGTGCTTCTTTCTTTGTGGTGATGCTCCACGCCTCAAGCTACATGACGCAAGAAGAGCAGGAAGGATTTGATCTTGATGATGGAGTGCAAACTGTTTAGATGACTGTTATTATTGCAAGTGTACAGATGGGAACATTGGATTGGGTTTACACTTATTGATCCTGTTGGAAGGTTATTTTCCAAATGGATCTGTTTTTTTTTGTTTTGTTTTTTTGTTGTTGATGGTGATTTTTTTCCCTTGAACTTGAACATTTTATTTTTGCAGAATGATCCATTTAGTTGCATGCTAGCCCCGGAAACAATAGGGCATCTGTTGGCTTTGTGCCTTGCACTGGATGTTGCTGGGGAAGATTCACATGTTGAATGCTACATGGCAATGCCCAAAGGATGGAGCAGGTTGCCACTGTACTAGCCAGGGCTCAAGCCCTAACCAGTGTATTTATGTTAGTTAATTGGTTATACAGCATTGTGGATTGGTTGGTTGCTCACTCCTGTACACACTTATGTTGTTTTTTTAACCAGTCAGGTCAACACATCTAATGTGTTTGTTAGGTGTAACAGTTAGTTACCCACTCTTCTACACATATCCTGTGTTTGTAATGTGTAACAGTTAGTCATACACCTCTCTATACATATGTGCTGGTTTTGTTTTATAAAAAAAAAAATCCTCTAGATATCTTCTGATTGAAAAGTATAAACATTTTTACAGAACTTCATTAACTGCCCTAGTCAGACTTTCAACTTAGGTGTCTTGGACCATGATGCATGTGCAAGCATTTCTTTTATACCCATAGCCACAGACTATGACAATGATGATTTATAGATGGACTGGGAAAAAACTCACACATCACAATGCAACAATTATGGGGTTGTGTCATTATGAAAAACCTTAATTTCTTATTGTAGCATCAGTAATGGAGATGAGTTTATGCTAGGTCTAGTTTAACCAAGAAAATACTTGGCTGTTTGGTTGGTTTCAATGATAGCTGTGTGCATTGCTCTACTTAAAAAGACTTGATATCAAAGGTTACCTACAAGTCATTGAGGAAAATCTAAAGAGATGTTGGTTACTGTTTCATGGGCCTTTAAGAACACCATCTGTGGACAGGATGACAGTACACGCATGGGGGGGGGGGCGCTGGGGTTTACACATGCCTGATGTAGAGGCATATAACTGATAACAATAAAACTGAGTGCGACCCACAGTTTACTGTGATGCCATTTACTTTTTGGAATATCACCACTTATATGTGATATGTATAAAAGAGACGGATTTGTTGTTACCAACACTTAGAGAGTACCAAGTGCGGTTTTTGACCAATGGAAAAAGTGCTTTCAATGGTAATATGTGATAGATGCACTAAAAAGGTCTTGTTAACGGTACTTAAAGTAAAGTGTTAATCCAATATTGTATCATTAAAAAACATAACTAGACTTTGGCTTTTCAGTACTATGAATGTAAATGACAACCAACTTGAAGCAAACAAACACTCATGAATACATTCACTACAGTTATTTTGAAAATGTGTAAATTTAAGTGTTTACCTACATTTGCATACCTTCAAGATTCCTGCTTCATAGACAGTTTTTAAGAACACAAATAATTTATTGAAAAATGTCTTGAAAGGCATGTGTAAAGAAAATGGTGTGGAAACGATGTGTTGGACTAAAACCGTATTTCATAGAATTCTACATTTTTTTTTTACAACTTGTTAATATATGTAAATCTGGGTTTCATGCATTTTGTGGTAGCAATGCAAAACAAATCAGGAGGTGGCCAGCTAAGTGGTATTTGAGAGCAGCATAATGTATTCTTATTTTCCCCCCAAAAGCACATTTTTTTTTTTCATACCACTACCACTTCCCAACTTTCACGAAGAGAGAAAGTTATAATCTGCCGTTTCACATCTGCCAGAATCGCTTGTTCCACTGCCTGTTTTTTTTTCCCCATAAACATGAGAGTATCACCACTGACATGTGCCAGTGCTGAACCGAGAGAATGAATACTGTACATGGGATTGTCCACAATACAAATGAATACACGCTAAAAGAAATTCTGACACCCCACCTCTTTTTTTAGTTTCCCCTCAGCCAACAATATCGCTTGAAAAGGCTTCAATCAAAGCCAGGTCACCTCGGTACAAGCACAACTTTGTGAGGTTGCTACTGGAACTGACATTCTAAAATATATTAGTACTAGCAATCCTTATATGATGCAGAGAAGTGGGGGGAAAGTCTTGATCTGTCCTTTGGCCACCCGTGTATTGCGTGAATTTACTCCATGACCCTAGTCCAGTATTTGCAGGTTTTTAGTGACTCTTTAAACTACCCATTCGACTCAAATAATCACATACATTTGAGAGAAAATTGTTTTATAAATTTGTATTGAACACAATTTTTAAAAATATGTAAGCAATGTTCTTTCTATTTGAAAACATTCACGTTGAGATTGAATTAAAATTAAAGACTCAGTATTTTGATAACAGTTTCTTATTGACACTGAATTGTATTTCATTAAGATAACAAATAACAGTATTGCACTTGAAGCTACTCAAATGTTGAATGAAGTCATATTTTTGTGTGTTTCTACATGTATTGAATTTATTTTTGTCTTTATTTGGGTCTGTCTGCAATCAATGGTAACAAAATCTGATCATGTATCATTCAGACTTGTTTTTTTTTAATTTTTTACTTTGTTTGAATAAAAAGTTAGAATTCTTTTTCTTAAAGGTGAGAACCCAAAAATGTGCCATGTTTTTTGTTGTTTTTTTTGTTTTAAATTAAACATAAAAGTCTGAATCATTTAAGAATTTATTAAAGTTTACTTAATTTTTAAACTATAACTATAACAATATAATTTATTTGTCAAGTGTCATTTTGATCCTGATCATTTGCAAGATGTTGACATTTGAACTATAAAACATGAATAAATAAACTGCCATTTATATATATACTGGTATCAAATATATTTAACAATACATTGAGATTGAATTTTATGTTCCTTTTTGACTATTGAGTTTTTTCTTTCTTTTTAAATTTTTTTTCATTTTTGAGATCAACAAAGAACTTCTGACTTGTGATTATTATTTGATAAAGTTTGTTATGTAAATATCTACCTTTGCATTGAGTCCATCAAGCATGCTGGCCTGTTCGCTTACTGAACATGAACCACGGCAATATTAAGAAGGAACTAAAGGTAAACAATTTGTTAAGTTGAAAGGTAACTACCCCTATAATACTGCTGAACTTAAAAAAATAATAATAGTAATCTCTAGATTAATGGGACCAAAGCTTTTATCTTGAAAGGGTAATTGTTAAATTTATAATGCCGGCAACTGAGAGTTATGAATACCATTAGTACATTGTTCATCCTAGACTATATACTAGTTACCAGTCCTAGTACTAAGTAGTACTAACGAATTCTTTGGAAATTTGTTCAAAATGAAATTTTGTTAAACAGATATTTATTTATCTAAATTTTCAAAGGTTCTTTAGGGAAATTGTAAGTGAGAAATAGGGGAAAATGTCAATTTTTAAATGAAAAAAAATTTGTTTTTTTCTAATTATTTATTTTGGAAAAAAAGCTCTGTCTGTTCAAACAATTTTTGAGTCAAATGAATTTCTTTCTGCAACCATATTACTAATACTATGTTAACTTGATCAACTCAAGGATTGTTCAATGTGACCACACCGAGGTTTCGGCCCACTTGTTATAACAATCACCAGCATTTTTTAAAAATGATTATGCCACCGCCACTTATAAAATATATTAGATTATATTAAATGCACCTTTGATGAGCTAAACTTGTGAAAATATATATCAATTATTCAAATCCCTGGCACATGCAACTAATAGAAGTTTCCCCATTTGTGTTAGCTTAAAGTACAAATGAATGAATGAATAATTCAGGAAACTTAAAGATATTGGCTAGCAAATAAAGACGAGCATTTGTTTTTTTCTCCTGAAAACATTGTTCCTTTTACACAAAAAAACAGTTCTTTGTCCTTTGTGAAACGAGATACTTCCAGAGATATTTTTTTTTATACTTGATATTTCAACTTGTTTTATCTTTGTAGTTTTTGCACTTTAAATTAGACAACATTCACAGAGAATGGCTTTTTTACAAGAAAAAGAATATGATTTAGTGTGCATCAGTTTGTCAACATGGGGGCTTACGTTTGACACCATAGGGTTTAAGTTTGTCAACATAAGGGGCTTAAGTTTGTCAACATGGGGTTTAAGTTGGACAACATAGGGCTTAAGTTGGACAAAATTGGGATTAAGTTGGATGACATAGGTTTTAAATTTTGCAACATAGTGCTTCAATTTGACAACATGGGGCTTAAGTTGGATAACATAGTGCTTAAGCTTGACAACATGGAGGCTTAAGTTTGTCAACATCTGGCTTAAGTTTGTCAACATTGGGCTTAAGTTGGATAACATAGGGCTTAAGCTTGACAACATGGGGCTTAAGTTTGACAACAGGGAGGCTTAAGCTTGACAACATATGGCTTAAGTTGGAAAACATGGGGCTCAAGTTGGACAACATGGGGCTTAAGTTTGACAACTTGGGGCTACAACTTGTCAACCTACTAAAATACATGATTTTGTTCAAGTCAATACCTTTCTACACACGAGTTTGTCAATACCTTTCTACGCATGAGTTTGTCAATACCTAGCAATGCTGGAGTTTGTCAAAGGCATGCAGTAAGTTTGTCCACACCTTTGGAGGCGTTCGCCCACCATTCCCATTCATGAGTTGGTCTACAATTTTGGGTGTACGCCCTACAGTGGGAGGATATTTACTTTCTTCCATAACATATCTATTTATGATATTTTTTAATGAAGGTTTGTTGTTTGTTTTTTTTTTTGTTGGGGGGGGGGTGTTTGAAATGTAAGGCATGCGACTTTTTGTTTTTTTGTTTGGTTTGGGGGAGGGGTGTCGTTTGAAATGTAAGGCATGCCCCCCCCCCCCTATTTTTTTTATTTGTTTTTTTTTTTTTTTTTT